CCGATTCTCTGCTCGGAGAAGACAACACCATCCTCCCAACAGCCACCTTGACAGATGGCCTCCTTTCGTGTGTGCCAGGGCTGGAGCCAGAGCCACACACAAAGCTTGGAGAACAGCATGAGGTTGCGTTGGGGACACGAAGGGCCAGGGCAGGCAGCTGGGGGGCAGCACTCCTGGAAGCAGCCCTGATTCAGAGAGTCACAGTGCAGTGCCCAGCTTGTGAGAAGAACTGGGCCACGGACGCCGGTGAGAGGCTGACTGGACTTCTGAAAGTTTGGGACGGCACCTCTAGGGAAATGAGGATCTCGTGATCTGTCAGACAAGCTTAACAAGCAGCTCTGAGACAGGAAGCCAGGGGCATATTGGGCCTGCCTTGGCAAGAGAGATTCTAGTTTCTAGGGCCTGCCTTGAGGAGGGAGTTGTGGGCCAGGAGCTGTAGACAAACATATGTACATTACAGAGCACTTGTTGGAGTCCTCCAAAGTGGCCTGTGGGCCACAGCCTGAGACACCTGCTTATCCCTCATTGGGTCCCAGCAAGAAGTTCCCTGTGTGAGGTCTTGGACCTGTCATGGCTTAGCCTGGCCAGTAAGCCCTGCTCTCCTTCCTGCAGCTCAGGGGCTGCTCAGGAAGCAAGGGTTTCAGGAGCTGATTGGTTATTTAATCTCAGCCGCCTGTAAATCAGCATTGCCTTTGGCAGGCGATCAGAAGGATGTTGCCTCACCTGTCCTGCCCAGGAGAAAGGCCTTAAGGACAGACAGACGGACAGTTCTGGGAACTGATGACTTCTTATCCCGAAAAAGAAGGGGTGGAGTTCTCCGGAGGGCAGCACTTCTCCTCTGACCTCTTCAAGAAACTTAGCGTCTGCCTCCAGCACTGTGAGAACGGATCCTGATGTGAAACCCGTGGGGATCCCCGCACTCCCTGCAGTGTAGCCACAGCCTCCCGTGCCTCATCTTGACACCCAGAACCTGATGTGCTTTTGCCAAGTGATGGAAGCCATCCTAGGCTGGCGGCAGGCAGGCAGGCAGTCCTTGTGCGAGTCTTACTGTCACCCTGATGTCTCCAGACAGGAAGCAAAGATGCTGCCTCTGTCTGAGTGGCTGCCTGGGCCCAGAATCTGTCCTCTTTTTGTCCCAGCTCCCAAGATAATGACTTGCCTTCCGCACCTGTCTGTCTTCCTCCCTCTCAAGAGGAGGGCTGCACCTCGAGGTGAATCAATATGGTGAGGCCAGCTTGCAGGACTAGATCAGCTGTCAGAAGTCTGTGTGCCAGCAGTGTGCAACATGGACTTGGCGGCCTGAAGCCTGGGAAGGGCCCTGGGATGGGCGCCCAACTTCTTGTTGGTGCCCTGCATTGAGCTCCTGCTCCCCCAACCCGAGAGCAGCTTGTGACCACAGACTCAGGGAATGAAACAGCCAAAAGTCCTTGCAGTCCTTTCTGACTTGGGGTCTCGTCTGTGACCACCACCCCCCTAAGCAGGCCATCTTCTGCCCTGTGTTGCGGACACCCTCCCCGGCATGGCATCCTCCATCCTGTAGCTAATAGCCAGTTCTTCATTTGGTTGTTACTGTCTTCTGTGTCTTCCACTGCTGTCTCCTTGGACTACAGTTCCCAGGAGGAAGGGGCCCACGGCTGTCTTCAGGAGCTGTCCCCGGGTGACCAGAATAGTGCCAGCACTCAGCTGACCCAGTACGTCTTTGTTGAATGAATGGGCTGAGTGAGCAAGTGGTCTTTATTGAGCCTTGGGTTACACAGAACCAGCACAACTGTCTCTACCTAGGCTACCTACTCATCAGATACTAGAAGAGAAGTCTCCTGCCCCCTTGTCACCCTCCAGCTGAGCCTGCCCGGGCCAGCAGTCCTCATGTGACATGGTGTCAGGCCTCACCAGCTTTTCACCTCTGAGTCCTCCCGGCTCCTTGCTCCTTCTCCTCACCTCTTGGAGCGTGACTTCCGGTATAGAATATAGGTAGATGTGATAGGGAAGAGGACTGGTGGGACCAGCCTTGCCCTCAGGCGACTGCAGGCTCCACTGAGTGACAGACCCTGCCACAGCAGATGGGGAAGCCCAGGGTGTCTGGGGATGGCTTGGTGCTCTGCCCCATCTCCGTGTCCCTCTGTGCCTCAGCCCCCGCAAGCTGGACAGGAGCTGGTGTGGTGCAGGCCGCTGAGCCCCGGGCACTGCTGACCGCTCAGAGCCACACTCTTGCTGCGCCTTGTGGCAGTGTCTGTCACTCATAGCCTGTCATCCTCTTTCACCTTGATTTATGAGCCGACCTGATGGGTTTTTGGAGCAGCTGTCTCCCACGGATGGGGTGATCAATCTAAGAGATAGCTGTTGAACTCTGCTCCTCCAGCAGCCAAGGGAGGGAGGTGACAGGGACAAAGGGCTGTGGTACCAGGGGTAGGAGGTTTAGGCCAGTACCCCTCATCTTAGGACCCCTGCAGGTCCATGTGCCCCACCCTCTCTCTTCCTTCCCTTCCCCTTTTCTCTGTCCATCTGGCAGGAACGAGGTAAAGGTGTACACATTTCCTTGGAACTTGCATGTTTGGGGGCCAGGCCGGAATACCCTGCTTCCCTCTGCACACGCAGGGGACAGCCAGCCTGCCCTCCAGTGCCTTCGTGGGGGAGCGGAAAGGCCTGCCTGGGGTCTCAGGACACCAACTCTTCCACCCAACACAGGGCAGGTGTTCTGGCCGTATTCTCCTAGACCCGCCCTCCCTGGCAAGCCTGTCCCCTCCAGATCCTTAGCTGGGAGTCACCACCCCATGAAGTGGCCATTTTTCACCATCCCTCCCAAGAAGCTTCTGGCATCTTCTTTTTACTTCTGGATGACTACAGACCTGAAGCCCACAAAGGGCAGATTTGGTTTTTGGAAACAGACTTTTAGATAATAGAGGACCTATTGGGAGCCTGATCTATGTGATAACATCAATCAAAAGATTATGAGATGCTTTTTTAAGAGAGAGAGAGACTTACTGTGTAGCCCTGGCTAGCCTCCAACTGTGGTCCTCTTAGCCTCCTGAATGTTGTGATTATAGGTGTGCCACCACTTGTGGCTAAAATACATCTTATCAGCCACTGCTATGGCTTTAGAGGCCATCTGAAAGTTCTAGAAGATATCCCACATTGTCACTGACATAAAGATGGAGCCCCCTAAGATAGCTGCTTTTGGTATGTAGGTGTGTGCTTTATAAAGTCAGTCTCAATGCTTCATAACTTTGTAAGAAAGAAAACGCCAGCCAGGGCTGTCCAGAAGGCCTCCCTGAATAACCACGCCCGTTTCCACCTGTATGTCCTCCAATTTCTTGGAGATTTAGGGCTAGGAAAGTAGGGAAGCAGAGAAACACTGGCTGACACCCAGCTGAAAGGAATTACGTGCACACATCCAACAGTCAGTATCCCTCTGCCTTCTTGCCTGCTCCCAGGACCCAGAGTCCAAGGCTGAGGTCAAGCAGAGCAAAAAGGAATGAAGGACCAGCTCAGGGATTTCTGCACTGGCCTCTGCCAAATCCACGTCAGCTTTGCCGAGGCCCTGGAGCAGGGCCATGAATGGTAGGGCCGAGCAGAGTGTGAATCTTGCCCTGGAGCAGCTGCCCCCTTGGCTTGGGCCGCGTGCCTGCCTACGGTGGCACAGCTTCCTGGATAACTGGCCAAGCAGCAGTTGAAAAAAGGCCACTGCATGGATTGTGGGCTCCCAGGAAAGGATCTGGAGGGGACGGGCTCAGAGAGGGCGGGTCTAGGAGAATAAGGCCAGAACGCCTGCCCTGTGTCAGGTGGCCAGGCTGGGGAGACCCGAGGACAACCCCAGCCAACCCCTGCACAGCCCTGCTCAGTGGCCTTGGAACCCTTCCTGGCACCCCAGGCTCCCCTCCCCGCTGGCCTTCGCCATTCTCCCACATCTTGCAGCCCAAGCCTGCCTCACAGACTCTGCGGGCGCAACCTTCCTGAAGCCACCCAGGAGTCTCTTAAGCTGAACCAGATTGCCCAGGGCCTAGGCTGAGATCACCGCTCCCCCTTGACTAACCGGGACTGGGAAGATCTGTGATGGCCTGGAGTGACAGGAGTGGTGGGCTGGATCGGGCTGTGAAAGGTGGAAACAAATCATCTTTTTTATTGGCAATTTTCACAGGGCTTTCGCTCACTGTCGTCCTGTCTCCGACAGTGTCAAGCAGTTCTGATTAAAGTAATACATGATTCTTCCCGCTGTCCATCATCACTGTGGGACGACATGAGCCTGGCTTCCAGTGTGTCCCAGCAGAATGACCTTCCTCCCAGGCACCAGGGATTGGGTTGGGCCCCAAAGGAGACCCCAGCCTGCCCCCCCCCCCACGCACATACCCAAGAGCCCTCCCTGAGCCCTGCCGGGGCTGGCAGGAGCTGCCCGCTGGGTGCTGTGGGCCCACCATTCCTCATACTGGTCTGCACTGCTAACAGAGAAGTGTCACACTGTCCTGTGACTTTTTCTGAGGAACCAGGGCACAGGCTGGAGGGGCCGTGACATCCATTCTGGACAGAGACAGTGGGGCTTTGTAAACTCCAGAATGAGGATAGGGACATTAGTGGTCTCTGGGTGCTGAGTAGCTAACAGTGACAGTCCTGATAGCAGATACAAAGGCCAGAGAGCCGCAGAAGGATTCCGACTGCCAGGGATCCTTGCCCGTAGGTCAATCAGTTCTTCCTGAAGAATGCTGTCAGATGCAGGCAGCCTGCTGGGGGCAGCTTCTCTCTCGGCCAGCATCAGGGAGCACATTCTGGAGGGCAGACTGGCGAGCCACTGCCAGGTGGCAGTCCCGAGAGGGAGGCTGTTGTACAGGCTTTTGGGTGAAGCCGGCCCTGTCACCAGCTACAGAGGAAGCCCTTTCTCTTCTGAATAAAGTCATAAGTCCTCTTCTGCTTCTGATTCTTTCTCATATGGTTCCAGGGCCCCCACACCAAACACTTTGAAGCAGGGTGATCCTGTCCCCACTGGCTGACTGCCCTGTCTTGTTTTCCAGCTTTCGCCATCATGATCGTGCTGGCCCTGGTCCGAATCGGAAAGGGGCAAGGGGAGGGCCACCCACCCCTGGCTGACTTCTCAGGGGTCCGGAACCTGTTCGGGGTATGCGTCTACTCCTTCATGTGCCAGCACTCCCTGCCGTCCCTCGTCACCCCCATCTCCTCCAAGCGCTGCCTCACCCGCCTGGTGTTCCTGGACTACATGCTGATCCTGGCCTTCTATGGCCTCCTCTCCTTCACTGCCATCTTCTGCTTCCGTGGTGACAGCCTCATGGACATGTACACCCTCAACTTTGCCCGCTGTGACGTCGTGGGCCTGGCCGCCGTCCGCTTCTTCCTGGGACTCTTTCCTGTTTTCACGATCAGCACGAACTTCCCCATCATCGCCGTGACCCTGCGCAACAACTGGAAGACGCTCTTCCATCGCGAGGGCGGCACCTATCCGTGGGTGGTGGACCGCGTGGTGTTCCCCACCATCACCCTGGTGCCCCCAGTGCTGGTGGCCTTCTGCACCCATGACCTGGAATCCCTGGTGGGCATCACGGGGGCATACGCGGGTACTGGCATCCAATACGTCATCCCCGCCTTCCTGGTGTACCTCTGCCGCAAGGACACTCAGCTGGCCTTTGGCTACGGGACCATCAACAAGCACAGGTCCCCGTTCCGCCACACGTTCTGGGTGGGCTTCGTGCTACTCTGGGCTTTCTCCTGCTTCTTTTTTGTCACAGCCAACATCGTCCTCAGTGAGACCAAGCTCTGATGGTGGGACCTCCCTGGTGATTATGGACTGGGGGAAAGAGTGAGAGGGCCTTCACAGCAGGAGAGGCAGGGGCTCTCGAGGGGCCCTCAACTGGAGATCTCCCGGCCAGCAGGACTCTGCCCCATCTGCACCTGGCCCTGCTCATGGGGTAGCACGTGGCTGCTCCCAGATTCTAGAAGGTACCCCTCTGTTTCACACTCTGCCCTACCCCTGGAGGCAGGCTCCTCCCTCTGTACAGTGGAAGAGGTAGTGCTGGCACCGCCACTATTTATACCACACCCTGTGTCCCTCCTCAGCCTTCCCCAGCCCTTTGCACCCCTGTCTGTCCAGTAGCATCTGCTGCCTCTTCAGGGGCCAGTCCCAGGCCATAGCCATCCTAACTCAGCCTGCCCATGCCAGGCAGGGCCCACTTTGCTGCCAGGCTGGAGTTGCTAAGTGCCGCTCCTACGGGTAAGCCAGGCCAGCCCCAGTGGCAAGAATAGGAAGTGCTAAGTGGCATCAGGGTCCCAGGCCAGAGCTGTGAGGACCCTTGCTGTGAGTGCCAGCTCTGGGCAGCAGGAAGATGGCACATGGCTTCTGCAAAGCACACAGCATCCTGGAAGCTGCGGTTAAAGCCGGGGTGGGGGGGTCAGGCCTGAGCAGCAGCCCAGCTTGCGTCCTTGCTCTGCTCCAACCCTAACAGTGGCCCGTAAAGCCTGACTGTGATGCTCAGTAACCGCTCTTTCCATGACACTGGGTGCCACAGGTGGGACAGAGCACCTGCCACCATGGCAGGAAGCAGGCTCCTGGTCACCTCTTGCTCTCAGTCATGCATGCACCTGCCAGGCCACCGTGGAAACAAACTAGTGAACTCTGCATTTTCCATGTGCCTTCTGCTTGGGGGCTGGGAATCCATCCTGACCCTGGTTTTCTCCAGTACCAGGCCTAGTCCTGCCCATCCTGGAGCCCAGAGCAGCTTGCCTGGAGCAGCCTCTGGAGGACCTGGGGTCTCAAACTGCTGCCTCCCCTCTTGATTTTAGTGCCTTGCTCAGCCCTTGTGCAGGAACTTTTACCACCTCCTCCCTTCAGGGTCTCACCAACTTTAAAGTTTGGACAGTGACGATGCTGGCCATCCTGGGGCCCAGGGAAGTGTGTGGGGTTTGCAGGGGATGTGGGTTTTGCAGGCAGCACCCCTCTACCTCTGACCATAGATAGCATCTCCACCTCTAAGAGTCCTGGGTGACAGTCTATATTGTCACTACCATCACACGCCAACAGTTCTCATGGTTTTCCCCACATGGCATCAGCTTCCATCCATGTGAGAAGAAACACCCCTTCCTCATCTGCCGTTGTGGCATCTTCCCAGGAAGCCCTGCCCCAGAATGCACCAAGAGGTCCACCATGGTGGTGAAGCCAGGAATGACAAAGACCTGCCCATTACCATGTGCTTGGGCTTTCCCTGAAGCTGCCTGGCTGTTTGCTGAAAACTCAATTAAAATATCTGTACTTACCCTTCTCCAATTATATTCCCTCTTGCTTAAGGACAAAGCAAATTAAATCATCCCGCCATCCTGGGCTCCAAACCAAATTTTGGAGACAAATTTATTAGCATCATAAAGCCCAGGTTGATTTATGTGACAATCTGGAGCCATCCATAAGAGTAGAATCTGTCGGGCTGTGTTCCCCTCTACCTCCAAGCCAGGGCAGCCCCAACCCTGGGTGGAATTAGCCCAAGGTGACCACATTCCTGGTGCCAAGCTGGGGCCCTGCCCACTTCCACTGTCTGGTTTCTTTGCTCCTCTAACTCCATCTGCTGTCTGTTCTGCTAGAGGTCACATGAGGTCACCTTGTTCTACCTCTGCCACTGATGGCCAGGCAGACCGGGGGTTGGGGGGAGAACCCTAATTAGCTAGATATTAGGGTAATACTACATGCATTAAACCTAGTCAGCTGCAAAGTGATGTAAAACATCTCTTTGGTGAGGTGGACAGGTTAGGTCATGATTTCCATTTGCAGAGGGGCCTGGGAGTCAGTGGTGGGGAGGAAACAGAGGATGCCAGCGCAGCCTGGTCCCAGGTACAGGTGTCACCGTGGAGGAGACGCTAAACTAAGTATCCTCCAGTGATGTCATCTACCTGGAACAGTCCCCAAGGACAGGCAAGGGCCAGGTGAGAGTAACATTTTCATCTCGCTCCGTGCTGAAGTACAGGCCCGCCTGAGCACCAGAGCCTGGTGCCAGAAGCCCTGGCTATTCCTTGCCTAAGGTCAAAGAGGCAGCAGAGGCCTAGAGATGAGGCAGATGGCAGGTGACAGGCTGGGAGGCACTGCTGAGTGTTGGAAGGTGTTTGTGGGCACAGGGCCAGGCCCCAGAGCATGCAGCTGTGCTCACCACATGGGGCAGGAGTGACCTCAGCAACAGGCTGATGCCAGAGCTGCTCTGCCTCCCAGGAATCCAGCCCAGGTGAAGTGTCTGGCAGTGCCGGGCCTAAGGGGAGTAGAAGGCTGAGGCTTCAGCCTGTGCAAGAGCCAGAGTACCTACCAAATTGGCTCCTATCAAGAGCCACAGAAAAGCTGGCTCTTAGAGACCAAGATCCAGGCTGCAGGACTGCCCTGCCATCTCTCTTCCGTGGGCCAGCAGTGTCACCTGTATACTGAAGGAAGTAGCCTGCAAGGATGGCGTGCTGTGTCCCCGGCGCGGCCTGCACAAACCTCCAGGGTCTCTTCTTCCTTTGTAAAGTGGGGAACGGCATCTGTATGGCTGGTTGTTATGGGAATTAAGGAGTGAGCTTAGGGCCTGGCATAGAAGCACCCAATAAAGCTATCTACTGATGCTTATCTCCTTCATCACTTGCCAGCCGTAGCTGCAGTAGCCCAGGACCTAGGACTCAGGACTCCAGATACCTAATTCGTTCCATAGCCTCCTAATGGAAGGATTGTAGCCACTGCCTGTTGCAATTCCCAAGCAGGAAATGAATCAGAATTCTTCAGGATCTAGGGGGCTTTTTGGGGAGACAGGTTGGCTCTGATTCCCCAGCCCCCTGGGAGCTTGGAAACCCACTCCCCCTTCCAAAGAGCAAGGCAGAGCCAGGCACTGTCGTGCACACCTGTTATCCCAGCTACTCAGGAGACTGAAGCAGGAAGGTTGTAAGCTCAATGCCAGCCCAGGCAACTTAGTGAGGCCCTGTCTCAAAATGTGTAAAGGACTGGGGATGTAGCTGTGAATGACAGAGTACCCCTGGGTTTAATCCCCAATACTGGGGTGGGGTGTGCAGGCCAAAGCAGGAGGGGCTGGGTCCTGGTGGAGGACATCACACTGGCCCTTTTCTGAGCTCTTCCCTTCCCTCAACCTGGATCTCTGGAAAAAGCTACAGTGGATGTGAGATTTTGGCTAAAGACAGATAAGAGAAAATGGGAGTAACAGGGGAGCTGCTAAGACTATAAGATTATCCTACTGTGAGGGTAGTGTCAGTCTCTCCCAGTGTCCCACAAAAATAAGCAATAGCCCCGGGGTGCCTCACCATCCAGGCCCTTCTTTAGGATGCTTTACATCCGTGGTATCACTTCTCCCTGCTAGACTTTTTACCTTCCTCAGAAAGTCAGGATAGGCAGAGCCCTGTTCCTCTGGGCAGGAGGCCAGGCTGCACCCTCTCTGAACTGGTCCTCTTGCATCTCCTTTTCCCAGGCACACCCCTCCCATCTTTTCCTAGAGAAGAAACAAGGCACCCAGTGCCTGGCACCGTGAGCAGAAGCTGCCCCTCCTCAAAGCCAGCAGCAGGCTCCGCTCCACATTTGGCTCTTAATTAGCTTTCCAGTTCTTGATTATTAATGATCTTGGGCAGCAAGCGGAGCAGCCTAGACCTCATGACTCCTCCCAGCCTCACCTGCTGCAGCTTTTGCCCCAGAGCTGCACTGCAGACCGGGCTCAGGAAGGATAAGCTCAGGCCCAGTAGCCAGGACTTAATCCTATCACTACTGTGACTGGCCAAGGTCATGTACGTCTCACTCACTCACCTAGACTCACACTCCCTACTTGTTGCTGAGCCCCTGATCCTGGACCTCTCTCCAGCCAAGAAAATTCATACGGCAGAGAAGGTGAACCTGACCTTAATGCATGGGAGCCACCCATTTGGGGGCTGAGACTCACCACGAGTGGAGGTATAGCCCAGCCCACCATTGCATCCCTATAAGAAGTTTTTCTGGCCTTCACCCAAGCAGTGGGGTCTTTGGAAACTGGAAAGGGTTCCCAGCTTCTTGGGCACCAGCAAGGAGCATGGGACAGAAAACTGGGCAGAGACTCCGGTGGTCTCTGCATTCAGCACTCGCTCCCCACTTTCCTTCTTTTCTGCCCACCCAGCCTCAGAATACTGCCAGCCCTCAGCCCTTACATCCTCAGCTGCTGGGGAAGGCTCTAACAATTGACGGTGTTCCTGTGTGCTTTGACTGAGTTGCCCCATAGATGGCTCTTTGCATCACAGTTACTGTGGGGGGACAGATGTGATTGCACCTGTGAAAATATTGCATACTGTAAGCAAGAACTATCTTTTGAGCTGGTGCAGAGCCAATAGTGTGTGACAGCAACGTGAGATTGGCTGGGAGCACCAGAGGGAGGTTTGAGGGCTGGAGCGATGGGTGGATTCTCCCACCTAAGGAGTCTTGGCACCAGTGAGGCTGAGCCTCACGCAACCCTAATGCTACTTGGCCAAGATCCAGAGCCCATTGAGCACATGCAGCCAGGCTAGCAGGCTGCCCACAGAAGACCATCCACAGCCTTTCCCACCTTCCAGGGGTCCCTGGCAAAAAGGGCCGCCCCAGCCCCAGCACAAGCCTCTATTCAAGGAGACTTAAGGGATGAACTCCATCATACCCGAGCTGAGCACACTGTCACTGGGGTGAACTGGCATTGAGTACCAAGTGGCTTCTGCTGCCTGGAGCTCCTTTCTCAGCTTCACCTGCTCCCCTGGTCCCTCCCCCACACTCTTGAGACTTTCTTCCCGGAGGAAGCCATCTAGCTACTCCAGACAGTCCACCCACCTGGGATACTCCCATGATGCTCCTGTTGCCTACTATGGTGCCCCCTCCAGGATGCAGAATAAGGCAGCCAGGACCAGTGAATTGTAAAAGGTCAGTTTAATGTCCTGGAGGAAACTCTAGCTACATGGAGCAAGAAGCAGGATTTATACCTGCCCCAACCCCAAGTTCCAGCCTCCACACCCCCAGGTCAAGGCCACAGCAGCCATGACCAGGGAGGGACTGGCTAACATCTGGGCAGGGTCACCCTCTAGGGTCCTACCCCTTCTGCTCACTGTGACTCAGGTTAGATGGGTAGGACTTCGTGTGATTATGGGGACAGCAACAGCCCATCCCACTCTAGGACCTGACCCTGCTAAAGGTCACTGAGGTGGCCAAGAAAGCCATCACCTGCCAATAGGGTTCCATGGCCAGGATTTCACAGTAGAAGCCAAAAAAGATCCAACCTGCCTACCCCCTACCCTTGGCAGTGCCAGGCAGAAAACCCAGAGCAGCAGGAACCGGAGCATGGCACCTTACACTTCTGACTCCAGGCTGGAGATCCGCCTCCAAGTGCAAGGTCCCAGGAAGTCCTGCGTCCCACAGGCTCCCCTGCCGAGCTCTTCCAATGCCTCACTGGCCCTGTAGCCTGCGCTCAGCCCTGTGGTCCTGCCCCTGTGCGCTGGAGGGGCCCAGGCCTCAGCGAGCCAGGGCTGCTGGCTGGCACAGGGTGGGAGGTGAGGGCAGACGGCCCCCCAGCAAAGCGGCAGGTGGGCATGGGTGTGCAGGCAGATGTGCTGTCTAGGCTGCCAGACGGGGGCCCCAGCAGGCACGCCCTCCCAGCAGGCCTCCCGCTGAGACAAGAGCCTCATGGACTGTGCCTGTGCCAGGCGCCTGCAGGCGGGTCGGGCGTCAGGACAGGCGCAGGCGTGGCCGGTGCACCCGAAGGTCAGCGAGCCAGGGCGAGTGAAGGCCTCGGCCACCGAGCTGGGCAGGGAAGCGTGGCGCGGGCGCGGACCGTGGGCCCAGGCTGCGCGCAGCAGAGCCTCCCGCTGGGCCAGCTGCTCCGGCCCGAGCAGTGGCAGGTCATCCGGCTCCGGTGGTTCTGGGAAGAGAGGGAGGAAGGGGCGCCGCGATCTGTCTCGAGGGAAGGAGCTGTAGTGACAGTGTGCGGGAGACAGGGCGCGCCACTCGGAGGCCCAGAGATGCTGCTCCGTGTGCCCGGCGCCCCACTGCGTCTCCCAGAGCGGACGGGCACACACCCGGGAGACGTCGGGCAGCTGCGTCCCCGGCGTCGGGCAGTGGCCCGGGGGCTGCGGGGCCCTGCGAATCAGCGTGGCGCGGCCCCTGGAGGGCGACCCCCAGCTCCTGGGGCTCGGCTGGGGCGGCGGGACAGGCGTGGGCGGAGGCGGGGCGGGACCAGCACAGGCAGGTGGGGGAGCGCGGCGGCTGCTGCCCATGCCCCAGCTCTCGATGGTGCGAGTGGCGCGGTCCAAGGAGTCGCTCACGCCCAC